ATAGCAAGGAGATCCTAGTTTTCCAAAGAGAGAGCCTGCGTGGCGGTGCTTTACGCTTGTCCAGGCAGGAATTCATGAAGCAGCAACTGCCTCAGCTTCTGGCTCTTCCTTCGCAGCTGCTGGGCGAGCCCGAGCTGAGGCCAAGGGGGGCGACCGGGTGGGGACACGTGGGTCCCCAGCAGAGGCACAGCCCCAGGCGCCATTGGCCGGGTAAGGGGAGAGCCCGGCCCCGAGCGAGGCCACCTGTAGGCAGCGGCTCCTCCTCCTGCTCACCTGCCCCTGGCCAGGCCCCTTCGCCTCGACGTGCACCCCACGGCCCGCTGCAGCCAGAGGCGGGGGCCTTTCGCTTGTCCACTCAGGATCTCATCCTCCCAGATCCAGGGAGAGATCTGCAACTGGCCCCAGAGCAGCCCAGGAAGGGCCACTCCCCTGCCAGCATGCGCCAGGATCCTTGCATACCGCAGGCTGCCGTTCATCCCAGCCCAGGCCGCTGCCCCGCCAAGGCCCGGGCACCGCACTAACCGGGGGCTGAGGCCGCGGTGAGGGAGCTGCAGACAACACTGGACCACGCCAACCACAGACCTCACCTCCGATCCCCTCAAGGAATCTGCACAGCTGATATTATTTCGATTTTACGGATGAGGAAACCGAGGCTTAGAAAGATTAAACAAGTAGCTCCAGGTCACACAGCCCGAGGGAAACAGCCAGGGTCTGACCCCAGGTCTACCAGAGAACTCCAAAGTGCGCCTTCTACTACCGGCTTCATTTATTTCTTAGCAAAGGGGGGAATAGCTCCCTTGGCTCTGCATTCCCGAGGCTTCGCCAAATACGCCGAACACACTGGAAAGGATGCTTCACGTTTCTTGGTACCTGCACGACGCCTAGCATAGCATCTGTTCCATGAGAGATGCCTAATAAATAGAGGAATGAATTAATTTAATGAATTATCTCACTTCTAGCCCCTGGACTCACCCACCCTTTCCATCTTCTCCCTAATTATCACCCCCCTCTCTCTCCATCACAGCCAAATTTTTTTCTAGCCTTGTTCACATGCAGTTGACATAGACTATCGTGTAAGCTTAAGGAGTGCACGGTAATGACTTGGGCCACGTATGTGTCACAAAATCATTAACAACAGTAAGGTGAGTTAACACCCCCGTCGCCTCACATAATGACCAACTGGTGTTTTGCGGTAAGAACATGTCAGATCTACTCTCTCCACAACTTTTTTTTTAAAACATTCTTCTTTTTTTTTAGAAAGAATTTTTTTAAAGATTTATTTATTTAGTCATGAGAGACCCACAGAGAGAGAGAGAGGCAGAGACGCAGGCAGAGGGAGAAGCAAGCTCCATGCAGGGAGCCCGATGTGGGACTCAATCCCAGATCCCAGGATCACGACCTGAGCCACAGGCAGACGCTCAACCGCTGAGCCACCCATGTGTCCCTCCGCAACTTCCAAGTAGTCTATAGTACAGTGTCGTCAACCACGGGCACCGGGCTGGGTGTCACGTTACACCTCCAGGACTTAGTCTTCTTACAGCAATTAGCCTATCTTGTTTTTTCACCGGAGTAGAGTTGATACATAAAGTTACCCTAGTTTCAAGCATACAACTTAGTGAACTGACAAATTCGCCCATGATGCTGTGTCCCCCATGAGTATAGCTGCCACCTGTCCCATTACATGGCCGTCACAATATCATGGACTCTATTCCTTATGCTCTGCTTTTTATCCTTGTGACATACTCGTCCTACACCTGGAGGACCTTATCTCTCTCTCACTCCCCTTTTGTTTTGCCCAATCTGCCCACAACCACTCTCCCCTGTGGCCGTTATCATTTTGTTCTCTATTTACAGTTGCGACTCTACTTTTTATTTATTCAATTTTTTTTTTAGTTTCCACTTATGAGCAGAACCATATAGTATTGGTCTCTCTCAGTCTGACTTACTTCACTTAGTATAAATAATACCCTCTAGGTCCATCCATGTCGTCTCAAATGTCACAATCTCATTTTTCAAGACTGTGTAATATTCCATTGCATATATATACCACATTTTTCTTATCCATTCATCTCCTGATGGACACCAGGGTTGCTTCCAAATCTTGGCTGTTATAAATAATGCTACAACAAACATAAAAGTACATGGATCTTTTTGAGTGAGTGCCTTCACTTTCCCTGGGCAAGTACCCAGGAGTAGGATTATTGGATCACACAGTATTTCTAATTTTCGAGGAACCTCCACACTGTTTTCCATAATGGCTGCACCAATTCACATTCCAACCAAGAGTGCACATGGTTTCCTTTTCCTCTACATCCTCACTGACACTCGTTTCTTTCTCACAGCCAAGATTTTAAACAATAAGCTACAATCTCTCCATCAGCTTCCTCACAGGCCTTTCCCTCTTCAGTCCTTTCTGGTCCTGCCTCCACCCCCTACCAAAAATGCTCTCTACAAGACAGTCCATCACATTGCCATTAAACCCAGTGGGCACCTTTCCATGCCCATTTGTCTTGTCCCCTCAGCAGCATGTGACACCTTGAGATGTCACTGCCTGGGCTGGCAGGACTCCGGTTTTCCTCCTTCTTCTCTGGATAGCCCTCCACGGCTCCTTTGTCATTCCTCTTCCGTGGCTCTTCAGTAAATGTGGGCATCCCCAGGGGTCCAGCCCAGCCCCACACCTACACCTGTTGCTGTCAAATCTCCGTCGCCTGCCCGGAACTTTCACCCAAGACCTAGACAGAGGCTCTCTCCTCAGATTGTTGGAACCTGCACTCAAGGCTCCTTCCCACAAAGCTGTCCTCCTGCCTGTGCCTCATGCAAGAATTAATGGCATCCCTTTCATCCTGACACTGAAAACTCCTCCTCCTCCCTTCCCTCCAGTTGGCACCAGATCCTGTTGACTCTACTCCTCAGTAATGTCCTTAATTTTCCACTTCAGTCTCCCACGGCCACTACCTCCTTGCAGGGCCTCACTACCATCCCTTCAACAGCTAGCAACTGATCTCATTTTCTTCAGCCAGTCTTGCCTCCTTCAATTCATCCTCCACCCCAAGCTGGAAGGAGCTTTCAGAAATTGCAAATCTCATCACTCTGCTTTAAATTGTTTTTTCTGGATTCCTCCTTGATTCAAACTCATGATCATGGCCTCCAGCCTGATGATGACCTTTCTAGCCTCAGCAGGTGCTCTCCATTCCCATCGATGCTCTAGCAATATTAAAACAGATGTAGTTCTGGTACCATGCCCACTTCTCCACCCCAGTATATACCTTGGTACTTGCTGGTCCTGCTACTTGGAAAGCCCTCCTTTACTCCTTTTATCATTTGAGGTTTAGTTCAGATGCAATCCCTTCTAGGAAGACCTCCCTCAACCTTCACTCCTGAGTTTGAGGTCGTCCTCTGGGCTCCCACCCTTTCCATGCATTCCTTCCTCACAACATCTAGCACACTGCTCTGCGACACCACATGCCTTATCTCCCCTATTAGACTTTAAGGTCCTCAAGGGCATGCACTGTCATTCTCATCTGTGTACTCACGGTGCCTCTTACCACCACCAAGGTCGGTATATAGAGATGTTCAATGGAAGGATGAGTGGAAAGGTGGGCAGATACGAATGAACAGAGATGACTAAGACCCCAATGTAACAGGAGTTAGAGGAGCTGTCTGTCCACACCCATCCCTTGACTCCTCATCCCCCAGCAATGGAAAGAGTAACTGGCTCCAATGCCCTGTGCTAAGCAAAGTTTTAAAAGCTATCTAGGAAAAGCATATGGTACACACAAAGAAACAAAGTCTGAGAACCAGCCCCGATTTTTTAAATGGGATATGTCCAGATTGGCATGAAAAGAAATTCAGAAAATGTGATTATATACAATTTTATCCACATCTACCTTCTAGAGGAGAGCAAAGAGCAAGGTTTTCACCCAACAAATAGTCTAGATGTTCCCCTGGGAATAATGCATACGACTCCACACCAAGCCACAGGGATCTTTGACAAAGGGGAATCTCCTAAAAATATCCAAGCACCTGCTTTGCCAAGAGAAAAAAAAAGTGTAGTTAATTAGTATGTTGGGAAAAGAAAGACTTCTCAAAATCATAACAGATCTTTCATCAAGGCCTGGAAATTGATAAAACCAACTGGACTGCTAGCCTCACAGTCTCCATAACGATACTGAGTTTTTCTGAGTGTGGGACGCTGGACCCCCTCTCCCAGAGCTCAACACTTCACACCACAGCTTTCCTCTCATCCTCATGACAACCCTGGGCTGACGGCAAGGCAGGCTTCTTCCCTGAGAAAGCAGATAAGGAAAATGAATGGGAGGAAAGGAGAGAACCCTGAGCTCAGGGAAAGCTGACGCCAAATTCTCTTTCTCGGCTCTAGTTTGAAACAACATGAAAGGAAATTTGCAACCAGCGAAGCATACGCGACGAAAACACATGCAGCATTTCTGCCTGTCTGTCAAAGGTGCCCCCAGCTACCCTCGACGGCGGCCCTCCTCCCATCCTCTCCCTTATTCTCCTCACTCACGACACTCCAGCTCGCCCTCTGCTACTCCTGTCTGTCATTCAGCAAAAAAAGGCAAAAAAGAAGGAAAAGCCCACACCTTGGTCAGTGAAGAGTCCCTATGTGACTCCTTCCACCGCTAGTGCCCATCTCGAACCCAGGAGGAGTTAGGTGGGGGACACGGTCACAGTTCTACAGAGAAACAGAACCAAAAGGAGATATATTTAGAGAAAGGTAGATGATAGATGGATAGATAGATAAGAGAGAGAGAGAGAGACGGATTGCCCATTGAGGGTCTGAAAAGAACAAAAAGGATGGAGGGAGGCCAAATTCGCTCTCTGCCTGAGCTGAGACATCGATCTTCTCCCACCCCTGGACACCAGCGCTCCTCGTTCAGGCCTTTGGATGCAGACTGGGACTGTCCGCATCAGCGCAGACGTGCACCCCCGCCTCGCGGGGCAGGCCCAGCATGACAGCTGGCCCCTCGATCTCCCCTTACCTGTAGCAGACAGACGCGGTCCTCCGATGGAGTGATTTCAGAGGCTCAAGAAACACTTCTGTTCCCAAATTTCCGCCCCGCCCCATGCCTGAAGCCTGCTGCAATGATTCCTTCCGAGTGGGTTAGGCCATTGCCCTCTGCCCACCCCGCTTCCATCCTTAAAATGCAGACACTCCTGAGGACAGTAACACCTGACAACACATTTGCTCTCAGACTTTGGGGCGATCCAGCAAGTCTGGGTGGGGGGCCTGGGCATCAGCACGCTTTCCCACACCCAGAAGAGATTTGTGGAGGACACTCGGAACGATGTGGTCCTTAACCCACAGTGTGGTCTTCTTTTCCAGAGCTTTCCTCCCGGCGTGGCTGAGAACACAGACTGCAGGTTGGCCTGGTTTCTCAGACACTCCTGCTGCAGAGCCAGACCCCAGAACACCGAGCAATACGGGCCCTGCACACCCATGTGCATTTGCACACGTGCTCACACGCGCGCACACACACACACAGAGCTGCTGAAAGCCGCGTCCCCCACCACCCCTCACCTGAACCTAGACCACCGGCCAGCCTGCCTCTGCGGCCCCAGATCCAAAACACTGGGTAGGCCACAGCCCCCCTCCTCCCACAGACCAAAACACAGCAGAGGCAGGCAGCACATTCCTGCCTGAGGATACAGATCTCTGGGCTGATTAAATAAATACAGCTTAATTAAATTAAAGTCAGATCAGAACCTGCCTAAACTCGGCTGGCCGCGCAGGAGAGTCCTTCATGAATGTTTCATTTTCATAAATGAATGATTATTTGTCTGCTTCGGTGCTTGCCCTGAAGGAAGCGGTGCCTCTGGGTAGAGAAGGCTCCCTCCAGTCAGAGACAAACAGTTACGGGGTATTTTTGTTTAGAGGCCCAGGAGGCTTTGGGACCTTCCTGTGGTCTTTGTGGGGAGTAAGCATCATGCCCTGGCAATGGGTACAAATGAACATGGCCCAGGCTGCTCCCCTAAAGGCAGCGAACTGTTCAAAGCTGTGGAACAGCCACCAAGTATAGGTGGAGAGACAGAGGGAAACAGAGAAAAGGAGAGAAAAAGAGAACCTGGTAAAGCTACAAACCCACCTGCACATGAGGCTATTACAAATATGCTTAGCAAGTGTGTGTGGGTGGGGGGAGCACCTGTTCCAGAAAATGTTCTCAAAAGAGTTAAGAGCAAAAGCACAAACCTCATGGAACAGAGAGAATTCCAGAACAGCAGGGCAAAGCTCTGCCCACGGTTGCCTTTGAGAGGCCCCTGGGGGGGCACACGGACGGCGCCTCCCAAGGGCCTGCGGCCGCTGCTGTGAGTCACCTGGGCTGGGGAAGAGCGGTGGGGGAGGCACGGCCACCGCTGCCCTGGGGACCCCGCGAACGATGGCCCCAATGCCAGCGCCCATCCCTGCCCACCTAGAAGTCAGACGGGGAGCGCCCCCACGCACAACAGCCTGGTCTGCCGCGCTCCCGCTGCATCTCCAGCGCTTGCCCCCCAGGCCTACGGGTCCCCTCCAGCAGCCCGGGAGGGGAAGGACAGACGAGAAATGCACATTTTGCAAGTTCCAGTAGAAAGCCTTTGGGGAAGGAAGCTGAAACTAATGGGCAAGCCGTGGCTTTCATTCATCCGTGCTACCATCACTTCCATTAGCCCAGAAACGTGAGAGGGGGCCTATCACTGTCCCCTGTGTGTGCCGGTGACACTGCTGACGGTGTTATTTTCTGGCTTCAAACTTACCCTCATCAGCAGGACTTCTGCTCAAATTTCTTACAGAACTGATGGCTCACATCACCTTATAGGCTCTTTAAGCTCCACCACTGGCTTCCCACTCAGCGCATCTCTCATCCCCCCTACTGCCAACTTAGTAGCATCTGAGCAGATACACCTGTGTCTATAATGCTGCTCACCTGTTTCCAATTCCGAGCCCTAATCTGAGACTTATCCTAGCCCAGACTCTTTCTCCAATAGCTTTCTGACCAGTAGTAGAGGTGTCTTGTCATTCTGATCAAGGGCTCCTTACCCAGTGAAGCCTTCCAGATGACTTCCCCAGTTCCATTCCCTCAAGCCCCTCCAGTGATCCCAGACGTGTGAGGATCCAATGAGAAAGTGCACTATACACCATGAGGCCCTCCACTGACACACTGCCCCGTGGCACGGCTGGCCCTAAATTTTGAGGCACATTAAAGACACACTTCAAACCTAAAGGACCCAGGGCTTCTAGCTCAAAGGACAGACTCAACTGATAGGCTTATCTCCCCTCTCAATGAAGAAGCTAAGAGACAGAGAAGCTTAAATCAGAAGATTTAAGATTTCAAAATATTTCTGTGACACATAAAGCATGGAAGAATGTCAAGTAGGCTAGCACAGAGGTTGCAAAGGAGATAGAATGGAGGGCAGGCGTGAGAAAGGAGGATAAAAAACTGGGGATCCCTGGGTGGCTCAGCGGTTTGGCGCCTGCCTTTGGCCCAGGGCGCGATCCTGGAGTCCCAGGATCTAGTCCCACGTCAGGCTCCCGGCATGGAGCCTGCTTCTCCCTCCTCCTGTGTCTCTGCCTCTTTCTCTCTGTGTCTATCATAAAAATAAATAAATAAATCTTTTTTAAAAAAGAGAGAGAGAAAGGAGGATAAAAACTAAATGAAAGTCTGTATACAGAATAACACCCTAACATGTCCTTCCACCATCTCTGTTTACCAAACATATGGTTGCCAGGCATCTACATAAAAGCACCAGAGGAAAAAAATGCCTAAAATTAGAGCTGAAATTTTGTCTGTACAAGAAATGTGAATGAGCTTTCTGGGAAGAACTAGGGCATCAAGTGTGGGATTACTGTGTGCCACAGTAAACCCTCTCCTTCTGACATTTAGAGACCCTTCAGAGGAACAAGTGGCTGCCTTCCCACTTACAAGTGGCCACGAGACTCACCCACCAACACAGGGCTCCTGGGCAGCCTTGCTACTGTCTCATTCTTAAACAGCCAACATCACCAGACTGTTGAGAGAAGCCTAAGTTGGGAAATACAAAGACTAAGACAAATAAAAGATAAAAGGACCTTGGAGGAAAAATAAAGAATAGAAGAGAACTGAAGTGTAGAAAACTCTAATATTTCCAGAGACAGAAAAAAAGATGCTGAATCCATCAAATTTAAACAGAGAAAAGAGACCATCAGAGAAAAATTCTCAGAAAATATCGATATGACCATTAAAATTATTTTAAGTTAGCAAGCACGGAAAGATTAAATTTTTGAAAATGTCCAAGAATGTTAAACATTAAGGCAAAGAGGCAAAAGAGAGAGAAGGAGAGAGAGAAGGTACATCGGAGCAATCCAACTAATAGAATTCCCAGAAAGATGGGGATCCCTGGGTGGCTCAGCGGTTTAGTGCCTGCCTTTGGCCCAGGGTGTGATCCTGGAGTCCCGGGATCAAGTCCCACATCGGGATCCCTGCATGGAGTCTGCTTCTCCCTCTGCCTGTGTCTCTGCCTCTTTCTCTCAATCTGTGTCTCTCATGAATAAATAAATAAAAAATATATTTTTAAAAAAAAAGGATTCCCAGAAAGAGAGAAGAGAGGTGATACAAGAATGGAGATAACCAGTGAAATAACCAGAAGACCATTTCCCAAAACTAAAAAAAGGGTACAAGCATTTAGGTTGAAAGGCCTCATTTAATGTTCAGAACTAGCCATTTTTAAAAGTCTTCTGTTAAATCACATCCCTGTGACATTTTGGAACATAAGGGGCGACAATAAAACCCTCAATACAACCAGAGAAAAAGAGAAGTTCTTGGTTGCAACAGAAACAACAAAGATGAACGATATGCTAACTTAACACAAAATAGAAATGCACTGGAAGGATGTTGAGCAATCATCTATTGATGGAAGAGCTGTAGAAAGAGGCTCAGAAAACAGGCAGGAACAAAGAGAGGCCAAAAAACAAGAATAGAGTCAAGGTCACGCTACAGAAACAGCCTAGTTCCTATGGAGCTGCCTCTCTTGCTGGGTCCTGCATACCAACAACCACTGAACTCTGAACTCTTCCTCCACCAGCAAAATAAATTTTTGAACCACTTGAACCACTCACTCCAGGTTCAGAATCCCATCGGAGAGCATCTGATTGGCTAAGCTTAGGCATATATCAGTACCCCGGATTTTAGAAGTCAGAGCAAACAACTATCTGGCCTCCTGCATAGACATTGGAACTCCGCATCCCACCAAGACTCACACAAAGGCAGACTCCTCAAGCTTCAGGAGAAGTTCAGATGCCAAGCAGTTAACACCGAAACAATAAGTGTGCACCACAGCTCATCCCTCCGACTTTACCATCTTTGTATATACCCCCCTCCATACCTACAACTCCCAAGTGCATATGAAAATGTTCCTACCTACCATATGCAATCATCTTCACATCCACTCTTTTCATAAAAGCAAAGTCTCATGAGTTGGTGCATCCACTAACAATTCAAGATTTTCTACATGTTGTCCATTTTTCTTCTAGTTCTATCACAATCCCTAATGATTTGTACAACTTTTGGACTAATATCCTATGTAAAGGACAGGGAGATAAGGAGAGGTAGGAAAAAATAATTTAAATACACGCACATACCACACACATATATATAAAGTTTGGGTAAACGTTACAGTCTTCATTTCTGCAACTAATCACAAGGCCATGTGAACTTGACTCCTCCTCAGTTGTAGTAGGTACATTGCGGGTAGAAAAAATAAATCTAAACTTAAGAATTTAGTCCACTGAAGACCAATCACTGCCTTCCACATGAGAGAACAAAAATCCGAAGCCATCGACCTTCCCACATGTGCCTAGCTGACCCTCTCTGAGCACCATAGTGGAGTCCCAGGGTTGTACCAACAAGCCGCACAGTAAGAAGTGGCAGTCAGCAGGTCAGCCTTTGTGAATGAAAGTGCTCCTGTTCGTGTGATTATTAGGCCCCCTCTGTAACCAGGAGTCTTTGATAAGCAGCCTCACGAAACACGAATATTCTCACAGTCTATTCACTCGAAGAAGACCAATGCATAGAATTCTTCTCCATACCCCCTGCCCTCCCGTCCTCCAGCGTTGCTCCTTTTGGATCTGAACCAGGGGCCTAACAACCGTGTGCTACCCATGAAGCAGCGTACATTCTGTCCTTGGGCCACTCTCCTTCCATACAAATGGACAACGAGATGTACTATTCAAAACTCTGCCCATTAGGAGGATTTCTCTTCCCCAATGTCCATCAGTGACCCCAAGTGAAGCTGCTGCTCCAACCTACTTCTCACTGATGACAGAGCACTGAGCTGTTCCATGAGTGCTCAGGGTTTTTTGGTTTTTTTAAAGATTTATTTATTCATGAGAGACACAGAGAGAGAGAGAGGCAGAGACCCAGGCAGAGGGAGAAGCAGGCTCCCTGTGGGGAGCCTGATGTAGGACTCGATCCCAGGACTCTAGGATCACGCCCTGAGCTAAAAGCAGATGC